GCATGCCCTAGGCGTGGCTGTGCTTGCTGGAGTGCCGCCTTGGGAAACGCGTGGGAAATTACTCCTAGGCTAAGTTTAAGTGACACAAGCTCCCTATAACCAAAAGCCCCATAACCTGTATGGGATCTCTGCTTGCTAAGAGAGCACCAGTCCCTGCATTACTCTCCTGTCCAGACTTCTGCTGATTCAAGCACTGTCAGGAGAAAATGTGCTGCTCCACTGGTTAAACCGGCCTAATTCTATGGACTTCAGCTGTCCACAAGATCAGCAGCCCGGAGGAGACGACAGAGAGCCAGTGGGTGCTGCAGCCCTGCTACAAGTGCCATGAGAAAGCCAGGCGGGAGGGGAGCTGTCAGGGGAGATCCAGTCCAGCTGCCCCCTCGCTCTGCTCCCCCAGGTGCCAGTCCTTCTGTGGCTCTGCAACAAACACCACGGGCCAGACATCAACTGAAGTGAATTGACTTTTTGCTGTAGCAGTCACTGGAGTTTGCCAACTGGCATCAGTCACAATTTAAAGACAGGGTGTTTAATTGGCCCCTTTTCCCCACCACATTGCTTTTGTATTTAGTTATTATTTTATTGCTCTCAAACTCATGTCATCCAACAGAAGGCATCCTTCCTCCCCAGGCTGGGAGATTCATTACACTGCTCCCTCCTTGCTTCCCACTGCAGTGGGATAGAGTGTTTGTGGGCTGCACCCAATTTCCTTGCAGCACTCGTCGTGCACCCAGTGCCTGCTCCTGTTTTACTGGGAAAGCCAAAGAGGGTTGTGCCCAGGGCTGGTGAGAAGGAAAGCCATTAATTCCCTCGGGGAATGAGGTCCCTATTTCTTGCACTGAGACAGTCTCAGGCTGGCGGGGTGTGCACCGCTGTGGTTATTGCTGTGTGCTTGGTGCGCAACGTGCTGCCATGCTCTACCCATGCTGCCAGCCTGGGCTCACCATCTCAGCTCCCAGCTGCAGTGGGCAGACTTAAATTATTAGAGCAGCAGAAGGATAATTTACACTTTCCTTAGCACGACTTCAGTAGCACTGGTAGCAGCCAGAGGAATTCTGGGGACAAAGTATTACCCTCTCACCTCCAGCTCTGCTGCACATATACCATTACACGCTCCTTTCTTTCTGCCATTAAGCTCCATTGTTTCGTACACTGCTGAACACACTCCTATACTACCCTGAGGCTTATTTTTTTTAAATAACTAGTTTGCAGAAGGAAAAAAAAGCTACTGTGCTGATGGTTATATATAGCTGCAACTCAAAGTGCGCTGAAATTTATCTAATTTGTAGTCAGCAAAATATTTGGTGCTGTCAGAAAACTAGGTTCCTAAGGAGAGTCTCAAGCTGGCCGTTTACCAAGTGCAGTTTACCCCCTTGTATTCAACAAATGCTTGGGGCCAACAGAAATGTCTGTTTTACCAAAACATAATAAATAAAAGAACCCTGTGACAGTAAGATTTTTGAACAAGAAAAAAACATCCCCTGGAATGTGCACAAGTCAAGTGCTCCAGCCCTGGGCTAGGGCAAACATGGAATGAAAATGGCTGGCAATGAGTGCAAGAATTGAATGCTCTAGGTACTCTCACAAGAGGGTGTGTTTGTGTGTATGAAACTGATAATTAATATTGGAAGTGCCCTGTGTTAACACAATATGTGACAGTGTTCAGAGTCTAGAGGGCCCCACGAAGCTGTCGTTAGGCGTTGTAAGTGGTTATTTTTGTCTACACTTGAAAAGTTTTAGTAGCATAACTGTGTTTTATTTATTTTTTCAACTCAGGTTTGTTGGCTATATTAGCATCAAAATGTTTTACACAAGAATAGGTTAGCACTGGATCAGGAAAAAGCTATAGCATGCTTAGGACTTTTATTCCAGTGTAAATGCGTCTACCTGAAGGGAGATTTTACCATTTTGTGGTTGTATTATTAACAGCAGTGAAACCTTCCAAAGGATGGACACCACTGATTCCAGCCGTCATCAGAAACAGCCCACAAGAAACCGAAGTGGTACCTGGTTTTGGTGTCCAAACTTGAAGAAAGTGCAGAAAAGGGCAACTGATTATTAATATGCTTTTGTCTAAACCTTGTGAACACCCCCAGCATGGGAAAGGTCATATCCCCTCTGTACAGAAATGCCTTGAGCCCAGTTGCTGCTGTAGTCCAAGTGAGAAAGGAAGGATGCTTCTCTCCTGCAGCTTTGTCTCTTGTCTGGCAGCAAGAGTATTGCCAGGTCTCACCATTTAATTGGGAGTTTTGAGACAGTCTGGCTCCTTTTCCTTAAAGTCCAGCCTGTTAGTGAGGGGAGTGTGTGGCGCTGGGGCCGAGCTGTACGTTGCTGTGCTGGGGGCAGAGCACAAGGATGGGGAGGAACCAGCTGGGCAGGGAAATGGACCTGCGTCAGCCATGGGAACAGCCTGGTCTGAGGACTGGGGCCACATTACCAGGTGCCCCATGAGGATGCTGTGGTTTTTGGCACATGCTACATCTGCCCTTTCCCTGTGGCTGCCAGTCTTTGTACCAGGGCTCCTTCCCATTCACCCGTGTACTGAGAGCATGGAATGGGTTCTCTGAATTGCAACCAGGCAGGAAATTCCCTCTTGAGCTGCAGAGGATGTAACAGGAAGAGGAAAAACCTCTTAGTCAGCATCAGCTTCATTTCTGATGGATTCATCAATTTCCTCAACCATAAGAAAACTCTCCACCCAAAGAAGTCCTTAAGTGTGGAAAGCTGTTATGTCTCTGGATCCCCCAGGCATACAGCTGCATCCTATCTTTCTTGTCACCTTTGTGAGACTTGGGGCTGGTGGGAAGCAACTTCAGAGCAAAGGGCACTTCCCTACTGCAGAGAAGCCAGGCACGAGCTCCCAGGGAGCTGCTCAGCCTTTGCACCAAGGAGGGTGGGTGAGGGTGTGTGGCAAGGTCTGTTTATAGTGCATTTCCCAAGTTAGGCACCTGGAAAGCAAAGGAGGTATGTTTAGTGGTTACTCCTAAAACTATGCGGGCCATTGTGCTGTTCCTCCATGCCCCAGTTACTACTGTGCACTACAGGGGTTGAAATCACCCTCAAATCTTCCATAAAAGTGATAGCTGCAGCGTCCATTGAGGTGCTCCGCAGTTGCAAAGGAGGATGCCTGTCAAATGTGAGCCTTGCTTCAAAAAGCTCCCCAAAAGCCAAATTACACAGTAGCAGGACAGAGCCCTGAGTGTGTGCAGCTCTGCATGGGTGAGCTCTCCTGGCTGGGACAGGTGTTTCTCTGTTGTTTGGCTTTAGGCCAGTCCCCTGTGCAAATAACTTCATCTTCTTCTGCCACAGCTTGTCTGGCAGAACAGGATTTTTCTAAGTAGTTTCAGGACCTGTCTTCTTCATGTTGTGCAGCCCCCAAATCACAGGATTTCTCATGCATGTAAAAGGTTCCTCCACCTGGTGTGAAGTATTCATGGTGATGAAAAACACATTCCAGTATCATTGTCACTGTGGTTTTCACACTGAAGCACACAATGAAGTAACTGTCAACCTTTCATCGTATGTATATATTAGACCTTATTTTCCATCCCGTTCCCTGACTCCTCAGTTAAAGCTGGATCTGGACAGATTGCTCAACTACCTCCTGGTTTGGTTTGTACACCTGCAGTGTGGCACAAAAGGACCCTGTGCAATTCAATCACCTCCTTGACTCAAATGCGTTTTCTTTCATTCTCGTACAAGCAAGGTTTGGGGATGTAACTGGTAGAGGGACATTGGAGCTGTGTGACAGCCTGGGAAAAAGGGAGGATATAATGTCATGCTACAGGGGGGCTCCCCATCAGCAGAGAAAGGACAGGGAGAGGATGGTCTGTGCAGCAGCCATCAGGGCTGGCTTGGACCTGTCCCCAATGGGTGAGTGTAAGGGGTTGCTCTTTGTCTTAGGTGTTAGCTACCTTTGCCGGATCAGCCATGCCAGCAGTGCTGTATTGATCTAATTTACGCGAGAACTGGCAGCACCTCCTGCACGAGGGTGTGCAGTGCTGCCCCGGGGGTACCCTAGTGCCACAGGGCTGGTGCCTTGCAGAGCCCAGTGCCGGGCAGTGCGACTGCATGTATGGCAAGGGGGAAGCCCGCACTGCCTCAGCCAGCAGCCCCTCACACAAAAGCCAGGTCGAGGGGAAAAAAAAAAAAAAGGGGGGGGGGGGGCATTCAAAGAGGAAATGCATGATATTTGTGTTCCTGTAAATGGAAGTTTCCAGAAGACTTCAGTTTCCTATGAAATGGTTCCCCTGCTAACCTGGCAGTGGCCTGCACATGTACAGCTTGTCTAGGTGAAGGTTTGGTGTCACAGAAGAGGAAGTTGTTTTACTGCAATGCCCTTACGGTGCAAAAAATAGCTTGCTGGAGTAGCGAGCAGCTCTCAAGTCTGTTAGCAGTAATGTGTTAACCCCTGAGAATCTTGTGGTTTGCTCCAGACACTTGTCTTAGTCTAGATACATTGCACTTTTTGCTCCTTCCTCAGGGAATCTGATAAATGCACTAAGTACTCAAAAGGAGCAAAGCCTGTCTGTACAAGCAAAGCCACTCTGCATCTTCTCTGCCTCTCTCATGGATGTCACTGTCCCGAGCGATTCCCTAACCACAGAGCAGGGAGAAAGCTGCCACCCAGCTCAGCACCTACTGCCCCAGTTCTGCTTGCTGGTATGTCCACCAGCCTTTCCAGAGCAGAGAAGGCTCAAACGCCAGGTGTGTTTTGGATCCGGGAGCAGGTACATGGTCCCCACTCCTTCCTGCTGTGAAAGGAGCCCTGGTGAGCCAGGTGGGAAGCAGCTGCCCAGCACTCTGCCCCAGGGAGCCGGGGCCAGTGGCTTGCCATGCACATCACTTCCTTGTGTGCACGATGGAAACACCTTTGTGCTCACTGAGTTGGGCTGAAGGGACCTTTGATTTCAAAATCTGTTGCAACAAGTGCTTAAACTCAGGTCGCTGCTCTCTAACTCTCTGGAGCCAGCACAGTCCCCCTCCGCTTTCCTGTGGATTACCTGCCCTGAGGGTCCACACCTTTCCCAGCCAAGGGACAAGCTGGCATACCTCGTCAACACCCTCCAAAGGCAGGCTGAGCTGCGCTGCGCTGCGCTGGCTGCTTTCTGGCTCATGGCACAACCCAAACCCTCTGTTTTCCTCCTGTGATGCTGCAGGCTGGCCACTGGCATGTGGGCACAGAGGGGTCGCCATCAGCTCTTTGTCCCCCCAGCACACCTGCACCCTCTCTGCCAGTGGTTTTGGGTTGGGTGTCTGAGTTGGCAGGCACTGAGGCTCAGCCAGGAGAGAAGGGTGCCTGGCTTGGGATGGGATGGGCAGCAGAGCGATGGTGGGCACCTTGGGGCCACACACACCGGTGGGGCGGCCGGGTGCGAGTGGAGGCGAGTGATAAAGGGGAGCTGGTGAGGGGCAGGAGAAGTGGCAGAGGTGCTTGAGGAGCAGCAGCAACCCCTTGGGAAGGAAGGAAGGAAGGATGGGCTGAGGCTGAGCTGGGTCAGAGAGAGAGGCACCTTGTTTTTCTGTTGGGACCTCGGTGTCCTGGGGGTGCCAGGGGGCTGCTTCAGTGGCCCCAACAAAGGCCAAGTCACGGCCAGGGGCACTCTGCTCCTGGGCTCTGCCGGGGGCCATCGCCCTCCTCCAGGGGTGGGGGACAGAGCCCACTTTTGCTGCACTGCCTTTATTTCTATGATCCTTTAATTTATCTTCGTGATGGAGGGCAGCATCTCCTCCAGCTCAGCAGCCCTCAGCTCAGTCTTTCTGTGGGACAGTCCTGATAGGTGCCATGGGGTTACTGTGAGGAGCACTGGGGCACTCTCCTGTCCCAGTTCATCTACCGGCATCTCCCCGCTTCGTGCCAAGCAGTGGGCAGCACCCCTCACCAGAGCCCTGCTGTTGTGGGAGCTGCCTCAGTGCCAGCCTTGTCCTCCTCTCACTGCCTCAGTGCCAGCCTTGTCCTCCTCTCACTGCCTCACAGCTAACGCCAGAACAGATGGATGGGGAGTTTTAGGGCATCACGGCCCCAGGAGCAGAAGATGTGTGAAGGTCTCTGCCTTGAGGAGCTGTGCCTACTGCTGGCTCCTGGCCTCCCTGGGGGCTGTGAGCCTGTGCCCAGCAGTGAGCCTGGGCTCTGCTATCTGTCCAGCTCACAGCAACCCCCAGACCTCGGCCAAGCTTTGTCCCTGCTCCCATAGGTCCTTTCACAAAGACCATCCCACAGGAGTGAGTGGCACTGAGTGAGTGGCACTGTGTCCAGCCTCACATCTGTGTGTGCATGTGCTGGCCTGAAAATAAAGTGATGGGGCAGGGTAAGGCGAGGGTCACAGCACGGCAGCATAGCACAGCGGGGCTAGGTGCATGGCAGCAGGAGCTCTTCCCCTCCGCAAAGCCCTGGCCAAGCATGCTGGAAGTGCTGCATAGTTTCATGCTCTGCTTTGTCACAAGGAGATTGGGAATCCAGGGGGCCATGACAGTAAAGATCAGAGGGCGTGAGGGAAGGGTTGGGGAGTTTCCTACTCTGAAATCAGGTGAAAAGGTGAAGAGGAGGAACTCAGAAGAGGGGTGGTGTTGACCTAGGTCTCCCTTTCCACCCTCCGAGGTGTTTGCAGCCCCGCAAAGCTCCAGCCACGCCTGGGCTTGGCCTGTTTCTCTATCCCCATCACGACTCAGCCCAGTGCAGAACAACGGGTACCCTCCACCCTCGTTCGGTCTGCTGCCAGGAGGCAGAAAGGCTGGGTAGGATCTGCCAGGCACACGCCAACACCGTGTCCTGGGCCAGAGTTGGGGAGCGAGAGCATCCCGCAGCCTATTTGTTTCTTTGCTTTTTATCCCTGGAGAATCCCAGAGGCTGTGAAAGTGCTGCTTAAACCTTGCAATTAACAGAGCCGAGGGTTTGGCAATGTCTGCCTCATTTACCTTGTTGCAAATCCTGCATTGTTGTAAATGCTGCAATTGCTTAGGTTGGAAATGCTTGATCTCAGTTTAGAGAAATGTGTTTCAGTGGAGTGCAACAGAAAGGTTAGATGACATCCTGTGCAATTTGCATTGCTTTCTCCTGAATATATGTGCACACATCAGTAGAACTAAATATTTTTCTTGTGTAGCAGTTTAATTAGAACTGATTAAACATGTCTTGAAGGTTTGAATATGGTAGTGTCATTGCATTATAAATGTCATTTTGATTAAATAATGGCTTCTTTGCTTGAACAGGGTAGCTATCCACCCGAAACACAGAGGTGAAACTTTAGTTAATAATAAAACTCCCACCAACTTCAATAGACCTATATTTCACCTTAATCGTACTCATAATTATGCTTTCACAGTTTGATTACAGAATTTACTGTTTTCCGCTTGGAGGGGGTATACATTGTTGTACACCTCCTACAAAAAAACTAGGAACCAAGGACTGCTGGCAAGCAGTACGTGAGCCTGGGTTCAGGAATGAGGTGATTTGCCCCATCCAGTGAAATGATGGAGCTCCCTTGTCCCTGGATGCAACAGGACCATTGAGAGTTGCCACATGGGCTCTCACTAAGGAAGATACTGTAAGATTATTCTAGAGCAGTGGTTGCCAGTTCCTATGGATCTGGCTGCTCTGGTATTTGGGAGAATTATCTGAGGAAAGCAGGCTGACTGTGAGTAGCTTTAAATATGCTGCACGAGACCTAACCTCCACTGGAAAAGTATACAGGGGCTTCCCAGGCTGAAAAATGTTGAAAACAACTGTTCTTGATGAACAGATAGTATTCAGTAGTCAAGGACCTGTCTGGATAACCCCAGGACATACTTTACAAATAGCATCTGTTTCTGCAAACCTGCTATTTAAAAAATCTCTTGCTGAAGCCAAATCAATGCTCTTTCATTTGTGTACAGCCCAGTTCTTTGGGTGTGTATTTCCTCTGGACATCCCGGAGGATATATCTGGCTCCACTGTTTGTGAACTGAAGTTGGTAACGTGACTGTGGACCTTACGCCATGGTCTGCATACATGACTGTGTGCAGCAGCAGGTGCATGCTGCTGCTTGGCCCCACATCTGACACCCCTTTCACGCACTGGAAAGGGCACAGGAGCTCAGATTTGACACGAGCATTGAGGGGCTCTGCCTCCTCAACACATCGGTTCGGTGCTCTGCGCTTTTCATCTCTCTACCTGAAAAAAGGAGGTAAAACCATTCTCCTTTGTAAAGCTGCCTGGGCATTAAAGTTGTGAGTCTGTATTAAAACGTGTATTTCTATGAACAATAAGTGACCATGGCTGTCCAAAGTAACAAAAGCAAGTTCATCATCAAGAGACATTTTTTCCCCTCCAAACTAACCCCAAAGCAGGGCTCTTAGAGGTCCAGATAGGAAATGCCAGTGATATGTTCATATCCCCTCTGTTCAGGTGTGATCTAAGCCCACCAAAGAAAATGAAATACTGCCAAGGACTTTCAGGGGTTGGGACCAGGACCTTTGTGACTTTTATCTTAGCAGTGCTACTTGTGCTTTTATCTATAAAACTCTGCTTCTCTTTGTATGCTTGTTTAGTGTGGGATGAATGGAGACAGTCTGCTGTTTTACTGCAGACTTCCTCGCACTTACTAATTTAAGACTGCTGTTCAGACTGAAATTTCCAGGTTGGCTTATGATGAATCCGTAGTCTATATGCAGCGCTTGAGAGATATTTCCATATCCTGAAATAACAGGAGGCTTGTGATATATCACTTCATGACTCTGCGGTGCTCTGCGACTCGCAGGTTGGAGGACAGACGTCACCAAACTGTTGTACACCAAAACAGTCACTGCGCAGTGATCCTTCATTGAAAGCCAATATGATTGAACTGACATACAGATTTCCATGCCAGGTAAAAATAACGGGCATATGTATTTTTAGTGGATTTGTGTAAGGAGAGCTTTCTTTGGTGCCTTCCACAGAGTTCCTGCCAGTGTTCTTAACCAAAAAAAAAAAGAGTAAGAGCAAATACTGACCTCCAGATGACCCAGCTTTGAATCTCGGTGATTTGCAGTCCGACAGTACAATTTGCTTGCTCCCGAGTTAGTTTTAATGTGAAGGAACAGGCAAAGACACAATTAAATATTGTCTCAAGTTTGCAAACTGAATCAGTCAAGTTCCAGCCTGTCAAAATCAGCAGTAGGTGGGGGCCAGATTTACCCTTGCCCCGATAACCTGTGTTCATGCAGGCTGAGAAGGCAGCAGGAAAAAAGGGAAGGGCTGCAAAGGGCTGCAGAGCAGATTTCAGGTAAGCTTGGCTGCCAGGGAGGCACCGAGCTAGAGTCCGATTTTTCAGCAAAGGCTCCACATCTAATTGTTTCAGGGATATTTAAAGTCATGTTTTCAAAGCACAACATTACAGAATGCCCTCTGGGAAGAGCTGGCTGCTCATTTTAGTGCCCAAAAAGCAGGCTAAGCTGTTCTGAAGATCTAGCTCTGTTTGTGGCTGCTGAACTGTTTTAAAAGCCAAACCCTTTTTTCATATAAACACCAAACTGCCTGATGTCAACTCAAGTTTGCAAGATAAGATAAGAGTGCTCCAGTGAGGAATAAATGGAGGAGGGTTTATGGAAACTGAGTTATGGTAAATAGATAGCATCAAGAAGAAGGGGTTTTTATGTGGTGCTGTGCATAGCGGAGGTGGATAGAGAATGTATATATATTTTTCAGAGCTGTGGGAGATGAAGACAAGTAGGAGGCCAGGGCTTCCCCACCCCTGTCATTGCAGCAGCCAGGAGCCCCATGCCACAGGTATGAGCAAGGGGATCTGGAAGGCGGTGGGGTGCAGCAACGCAGGCTCAGTGTTTCAGAGGCAAGCTCAGAGGGCCATGAGAGGAATGGAGGGAATGTGATAAGGCCAGGGGAGGATTCGGTGAGGGAAGGAATGAGCAGGGGAAAGGAAGGGGTGTGGGGATGCCAGGAGTGTCCCTTTCTACTGTTTCCCAGTTTCCCTATACTGGAGGGAGGTTTGGGTGCCTCAGCTGAAACACCAGGGAACTGCTGTACTGAGGGGTGTCCCCGTTCCTCTCATGGCTGAAGCAGATACCCTGACCAATGTCCCTTCAGCCAACCTCGACAGCAGGCACAGGGGACAGCGTGCTGCCAGCAGCCACTCATCCTGGCCACGAGCAACCTCAGAAATAGCAAGCCTTTGTTGTCATTGTCGTTGTTTTTGTAGATGACTTGGCCCAAGCAAAGATGAAAGTCAGTGGAAATCCGTAAGTTGCTGTGGATGTTCCTGTGAAGAGAGTACAGGTCTGCAGGGTCATACCTTAGAGATTTTTTTTAACAGGGAGCTCTTTTTGAAAAGGTGGACCAGTGTGTTCCACAACACAGAAAAAAGCTTGGGGGATGGCAAGATGTTACACTGCCAGCCCGGGGAAGCTGCTGAGCTATGCTGTGCAGCCGCAGTGCTGCTCAATGCTGAAGGCAGAGCAGCCGCAGCAGTGCACCGCCACTCCCTGTCAGATCTGGTGTAATGTTTCTGGCTCCAGCGCTAACCCAAGTGTCTGCACATTCTTATCAGCAAGCCTTGCAGGTAGCATTACGTGTTTGTCCACTTGAAATAGAAATATTCCTTAACTCTGAACCTCCCTGGCCTCTCTCTTCATATGCTAGTCTCTCTTGGTGGCCAATAGAT